CATCCTACTGCAACTGCCTCTTAAATACTTTCTCTGATTCTACTTCGTCCTTCACATTTGAATCTATATGGCATTCTAAAAATATAAATTTGATTAAGTCAGCCTCCTATTTTAAGAATTTCAATGAATTTCCACTGACTGCCTCAGAATAGTCTGCTTGACCTGACCCCAGTCTAGCACAGTAATAGCAGGTCTAGGTAGGTTGAAGCAGAAAAGTGAGTAGTTCACACCAGGATAGACATAATGAAGAAGGCGAAAAGTGAACTGAAGCAATATTTGCCCTTTATGGTTAGTATTCACTTTTGATGGAACATTTTTCTTTTCCTTTTTATGTGGCTGCATCTTTTCATTCTTCAGTTAGGAATTTAAATATTATTGCCTCAGGTATTTTTCCTTGGCCAATCTTTGTATTCATTCATTCATTCATTAACTTATTCCATAGATAGTTATTGAATTCCTATTCACAAGAACTAGTGATATGACAGTGAACAGAAAATATTCTTCTCATGGAATGTTTTGGTTTTTGTTTTTTGTTTGTGAAGAGATTTTTGCTACAGAGCACATGCACTTGCCAGAGACACAGAAAGCAAGAAATCACCCTCCAGAAGAGATGGCCACTCAACAATCCCTTCTCTTCCATTCTCCTCTCAGAATTTTGGACAGCCACAAGCTTTTTATGTCACCAGGCCCAGGACTCAAACCACAGTCAACTATGTGGGAGTCCAGCAATGTAACCATTATGCCATCTGCTGGTCCCCTTCTCCTGGAGTTTATAATGAAAATAATGAGTGTGTGTACTGGGGGAGGAAGCTGATAATAAACAACTAAACTAGTAAATATATAGTGTTTTATATAGCAGTAAATGGCTAAGGAAAAACTAGAGTAGGTTAAAACAGAGTGAGGAGTGTGTGGTGGGAGGTATGTTCTTTTACATAGGGTAGTTGAGGCAGAGGTCTCTTATAGGGTATTATTTAAGCAAAGACCTGAAGAACATTAGGGAATAGACCATGGGATGATCTCATTACAGTACATTTCAGACAGAGAGGTATTCAAAGGACAAAGAGACCTGTGTGTCTGCAAAAAGTAAAGAGTGAAAACAGTGGGAAAGGAGGTCTGAGAAGTAACAGGGTGAGATTGAGTTTGGCCTTACAAGCCATTGTAAGATGGAGTTATTCTGAATATACTGAGAGCCACTGGAAGCCGTGGGCTGAGGAGTGCTCTGCTCACATTTGTATTGTTGAAAGATTACTCTACCTATAGAGACCACTCTCTTAGAAAGCAATCACAGAATCAAGGAGATTGCTTAGAAAGCTACTAAAATAATTCCAGTGAGTGACTAGTTCAACCTCAATAGTTTGGTTGCAAAACAAATTGGAAAAAAAAAATCCTAGACAGATCAAGAATGCAATGTATAGAAACAAACTGGAAAATGGATCACTGAGCAACAAATTTAATTTAAATCACATTATAAATTGCCTTAAAAAAAAACTCAAGCATAAAACTGCAAGTGGAAAACTCAAGCATAAAAAGTACGAGTAGTCAAAACAGTGTCAGTTTCTAGTTATGAGCTTGGCAATTGAATTCAAATAAGAAAAATTTCAACTGACCCTGTGAGACCTACTTTTTCTAGTTTTAGCAAAAAAAAAAAATTACAAACTTGGTATATATACCATTCTGAGCCTGGTTCCCTGTCACATCTCTTCTCTCTTTTTTTTTTTTTTTTCTTAGAGGTTTTTGCTATGGGGCATGTGCACTCACCAGAAAGACAGAGAGGGACAGAGAGAAAGAAAGCAAGAAATCGAGAAATCACCCCCCGGGGGATGGCCTCACTGCAATCCCTTCTTCTCCACTCTCTTCTCGGGACCTTGGGCACACACACACACGCACACACACACACAGACGCCCGGCCACCGGGTCTGGAACTCAAACCACGGTTGACTACATGGGAGTCCAGCGACACAGTCATTATGCCAACTGCTGCTCCCACTTCTCTTCTTTCTTAACCTCCTATATAAAACCTATGGGAAAAAGCTTCTGCCTCCAGAACCATCCCCAAAACTGCTCAAAATACCAGGCTTGGTTTCTTACCAAAGTTCAAGTCTGGTTTGACTCAGAATGTAATTTGTCATTTTTTCAAAATTTGATAAAAAAAAATCCAACTTTCCTCAATTTAACTTACTAGATACATCTTTTAAGATGTATGTCAGGGGCCAGCCCATAGCCTGGTGGTTGAAGTAGCTGAATCCCTCCCAGCCAGCCCAAGTCCTGGACCTGGAAGCTTGAGAAACACAACAAACATGTGTGTGGGCATCCTCAAAATACAGAAACAAGGCAGGAGGAGGAGAAGGGATTGTTGCATTTCCAATCCCCATGGGAGGTGCTTCCTTGCTCTCTTGCTCTTTCTCTCTCGCCAGTGAGCATGCAAAAAAAAAAAAAAGAGACAAGCAGATGTCATATGGTTATAATGCTGGACTCCCACATGGCCAACCAAAGTTCAAGTCCAAGGCATACAACTTCATACTCACGTCGGGTGTGCATGCATACCCAAAATCCTAAGAGGAGAATGAAGGAGAACGGATTGCAACATGGTCATCCTACCTCGAAGGTGATTTCTCGCTGTCTCTCCGGCAAATGTACACACCCTATAGAAAAAAAAAACTCTCAAAAGAAAAAGAAAAAAAAATGTTGTCAATTTCTGCTTGACAAATTATAGACCTGAGCTTCTCAACTCATTTCGATCACTGCCTTACATAAGTTTACCCAGAAGCAGCCCTGAGACAAGATTTGAGGGCAATTTTAGATGGAGGTAAAGCAACCACTGGTGGGGTGGGGGAGATGAACAGGGAAGGAAAGCAGCCAGTAAATAGCGTGTTTTCAAACCAGTTACAACATGGGCAGCTGAAGCTCAGTACTCCTGGCAAACACTGGGAGCCAGTGTAGCTTGTGCACCAAAAGGTTAAACCATCCAAGAAACGAGGGAAGTCGTGGCTTTGTATACATCAGCTGCCATCAGTTAACAGTTAGGGGGCCCCTCTGGGGAGAGTTAATCCCTGGAGCCTGCTGCTCAGGTGGACAGTGTCTTTGGCATCACTGAAATGAATACAGGAGCTGGCAATTGGGTGTTGGGTGGGCACTGAAATGGTAGGAGCGAAATTTGGAGAGGGCCTCCCAAGGTTCATTACAGCAATTGGTGTACTACTCTGTCTTGCCCTGGTAAAATACGTTAGGAGAAATAAATCCCAGAATTTTCTGATTTGACAGGTCTTTCTTGAACATATGTAAATAAGCATGGGGCTTAAACTATTGATAGGTTGAGTAACAAAACACAATGATGTGAAACAGGAAAGTCTTCAGGTTCCCTTTGTCATTCATTCTATCTTCATGATTTTGTATCATTAACATTAGTTAGATGCTTGCTTCCCCCACAGAATACTTAGACATGTAATCATTCCCCCATACTACATGACTTGGCTTTACTGCTACACACTTAAGAGTGACCTGAATAGATAACAGGTTTGCTTGCTTTAAGTTTCTTTCTTTCTTCCCATCATGAGAGAGAGAGAGAGAATAGACTGCCACACCAGTCCTCCCCAAGTCTCTCAGCCAGCTGGGTGTGTTCATGTTGATTCAATCTTCAAACCCAGCCCAGTGTGCAGCCCTGGCATTGTGGTGGCGGTGCCCTACCACCTGTGCCACTGCACGTGGGACAAAAATTGTTTTGGGTATCTTTTTTTTTTCCCAAGAGTTTTTTTTGCTATAGGGTGCATGCACGAGAGAGAGAGAGAGAGAGAGAAAGTAAGAAGTTACCCCCCAGGAGGGATGGCCACATGTCAATCCCTTTTCCTTCATTCTCTCTTGGTATTTGGGGCATGCATGCCCAACCAAACCACTGTCAACTACATGGAAGCCCAGCCACATAGCCATTACACCATCTGCTGGTCCCACTTTCAGTATCTATTTACTGTGAAAAAGAATGGCTACAAGTTCATTAAAGTTTAGCAGAACTAACCCCAACATTTTAATAACTTATCATTAACATTATGCCAATTTACGCAGTCTCTTTGTCTAGTTTATTTATTTATTTATTTATTTTTAGAGGCTTTGCCTTAGGGTATGTGCTCACCAGAGGGAAAGACGAACAGTGAGGGGAAAAGTGAAAAATCACCCCCACCCCCGTGCCAGGGAGGGGGCCATGGCTACACCTCAATCCTCTCTTCTCCATTCTCTCCTGGGATCTTGGGCACATGCTCAAGAAGAGATTGAAATGTGACTATCCCCTCTGAAGGATGCTTTCTCCCTTCCCCTCTCTTCTATCTCTCTCTCTCTCTGGTGAGCACACACACCCTATAGCAAATTTTTAAAGAAATTTTTCAAATTGAAAAAAATCTATTATGTATTTAAAGAGTCACTAACTTTGGGTCAGCAGGTGGCATAGTGGTTAAAGTGGCTGGATTTCCACATGACTAACCATGGTTCATGTTCCAGACCTGGTGACTTGAAACACACTGGGCATGCGTATCCAAAATCCTGAGAGGAGAATAAAGGAGCAAGAATTGTGGCATGGTTGTCTCCCCTAGAGAGTTATTTCTTGCTTTCCCTCTCTCTGTCTCTTCTCTAGTGAATGCATGCACCCACTGGGGAAAGGGGGTGTGTGTGTGCAGAAGGAGTCATTAAATCCAAGTTAGATATTAAAAGTCAATGAAATAGAATAAAAATCTAAGTGGTGATCTAAAATTCTCGGAAATTGTGTTACAAACTGGAATAACAACAAGAAAGAAATGTCACATTTCATGTCTATTACGAAAAACTGAATATTAAAAGATAGAGAAAAAAATTAGACCTATCCTTCTTACCATAATTTTGAATAAATAACATGTGTATTAAAAACACTATCAGATTTTGAAAGGGAGAATACCACTCAAAGATAGTCTACAATAAGCTAGTTTACTTATAAAAAGTTTATCTAATCTACTCTTTCAAAAATCCACAAAGGGGGCGTGATGGCGCCCACCCTATGGCAAAATCCACCAAAGAGGGATATGGATGAGGAAATTGCAATTTTGAGAACCAAATTAACTCCTTCATCCAAATGTAGAAAACTAGTGGACTTGTACAATTTGAACCGGGCTTGATTCTTTGCACGTTTCAATACACCATGCTAACATAGCACATACACCTTAACGATGAATAAGATATCATTGTACAACTATTGACAAATTAGGAGCCAGGGTTTTATAAATTAGAAATAGTAATAATACAATAAAAACTGACGAAGATGGCAAAAATGAAGGCACTAATAATGATTCTTAGTAAATGATGTAGAGCCAAGATATTTCAACTCTATTTGGCTATATGAAACCAAATAAAAAAAAATAAATAGAATAAGAATAGAAAATAACCCAACTTCAAAAAGAAAAAAAAAAAAAAAACTCTGGGTTTGCATCCAGAGACCTCCCTGAGTATACCAGGCACACACGTGCCCTTGATCCGTTGCTGGATAAGGCAGGGGGTGAACCGCAGCTTCAAGATCCTGTTGAGGGGGTGCTGTTTCTCTAGTCCCTCTTGTTCTCTTTCTCTCTCTCTCTCTCATAGAAAAGAGAAGAAGGGAGAGTGGATGGAAGGAAGAAAAGGAGAAAGAAAGTAAACATTTCACATTAAAAAAAAATACAAATGGGGACCAGCAGATGGCATAATGGTTATATCACTGGACTCCCATGTAGTTGACTGCAGTTTGAGTTCCAGACCCAGTGACTTAAACTTGCACCAATTGTGTGTGTGTACATGCCCAATATCCTGAGAGGAGAATGGAGGAGAAGAGGACTGTGGTGTGACCATCTCCCCTAGAGGGTGATTTCTCACTTTCTGTCTCTGTTTTTCCAGTGAGTGCATGCATCCTATAGCAAAAGTCTCTCCAAAAAACATAAATAAATAAAAAATAAATGGCCCATTTCCCTTCTTCTACAACCCCTCCCCACCAAAGAGATGCTAATCTTATTCATATTAGAAAACTGTCTGGCTTACTTGGTATCATTTCTCCCTGGGTCGCCCATAGTAATTATCCTGACTCAATGGTCCTTAAACGTCAGTCTGCAATTCCAGAATGATCTGAAGAGCATGTTAAGAATGAATCATTCTAGATTTCTCCCCCAGAGATTCTGATTCAGTAAATCTGAGGCCAAGATATGGGCATATTGGCCCAAGAAATATATTTCAAACACTCACTTCTTACCTTTTGACCATTCTATTTCTGGAGTTCTCCCCCAAACCACCTGAGGTGCCTAATATCCCATATCTGTCTGCCAGTTGCATAACTAACAGCATCAAAGGGTAACCATATTCATGGAGAGGCATGACCAGTGTCATCGAAGCAGCCAGTTTGGCATCTGAGTAATTACCACACTGTGGAACAGCAACCATTGTCATGATCAGGAGTCGAGGGACGGATTAAGATGATACTGTCCAGGAGAAGTGTGTAGCAAGTATGTAATAAATATGTAAGTAATACACTTTAATTAACACAGAACTAGAAGCCACGCTATTCTGTCTCCACTCATTTGGAATACATCCCACACCAATGACCTGAAGTCACAAAGAAGCAACAAGGCATGTCTGTCAGGGTATAATATGATTTTAGGGTGTAAACCAACATCACCCTATGGTACTGTATTAACATAACTCTTTAGGAAACTGACATTTAATCTCCGTGATTTCTAACACCCTTTAAATAACCTGGTTGGCAGTACATACAAAAATGTCTTTAATGAGGGGACAGGATGTTTATCTTCATTGCTATAGGTGAACAGTCAAACATGTACTCACAGAAACCACTCTAGGTCAGAACTAAGACAAGCCTTGTTTACCTTTTGTCCATTCCCCCACGCCCAGGCTAATGAAAACCCTCCTGCCGGCATAAGCTCTAGAAGGTACTTGTACTACATTTAACAAACATAGTTTAGGGCCACAGATGTATATATATGTGTGTGTATATATATATTTTTTATTTCCTTTTTTAGAACACCTGCTTTAAAAAAATAAATAAAAAGACCTATTCTTGGATACCAAAATCATATCCAATGATAGCCCTATACTATGACAGTATGATGGAAAACTGCTCTAACACCAGGACCATAATATCTTTGCCTGTACAAATTATATTGCTCTTTTCAAAGAGAACTTGTATTGGCACATACTACTTTCTGTGGCATTTCTTTGAAAAATTCAAGTGTGAAAGCTCTCACAGTGTTCTACAGCACATGGTGTGGGGAATTAAAATGTCCTGCTACCCGGACACTAGTATAGAAGCACAAGAACAAGAATTAAATATCAAGTGCATCCCTGAAATTTAATGTACCTTCTCATCTGAGCAAAGGAAATATCACTGGCTTGACATCAAGATAAATAGTAGGCAGAAATAATAAAAAAAAAAAAAAAAAAAAAAAAAAAAAAAAAAAAAAAGCATATGGAAATAACTGCTAAACACTAAAATATGAAAACTCTAAAATATGCTAAAGTATTTTTAAATCTAATAATGTTCAGCCATCAACTATTTTGTCTTCATATGCATGGCAAATATTGAAAAGCAACTTGGTACAGTAGTGAATCAGGGAATAGAATTCTTATTCTAGCTTTGGTACTAATAAACTGTGTAGCCTCTCTGGGCTATTGTTGTAACATGGATCAAAGAGAAGAGAAGAGGAGATATTGGATTATATCATCTTGATAGTATTTTAAAGCATTAATATGTTTGTGTTTGGTTTCTGTAACAACTGGTACAGTACTCCCAAAACAGACCACAGAAGCTGTTCTTCATGTGCTGAAGCTCAGAGTCCTGGCCAAACTTCGTCTTTGGGACTCGACTTTGAGATCATCCCCACAACCCTCACAAGACGTAAACACAAATGAGGTAATGAGCCTCCAAATAATTTCTTCTTAGTAATCCCAAAATCCCTTAAAAATGCTGATGATAGTAATCTCTGGATTCAACTTGTTAGGTACCATTGAAATCAGAAGTTTCAATGAGGAAAACCAGAGGAATCCATCTAAATTATCTAGTACCTATTTCTGTGGTTTGTTGTTTCTCTTCCTTAAAGTTCATCTTATGAGGTATAGAAAAGACATACAGGTACACAGGAAATCTTGTATTTCAGAAAAAAATTAACCACTCATAGTTTAAAAAGAATATGGAGGAAACATTCATAAAATACCTCATCAGGAATAGCAATAAAGAAGAATGATGTGGGGCCAGCAGGTGGCAAGGTAGTTAAGGTACTGGATTCCCACATATTTGGCCAGGGTTCAAGTCCCAGACCTGACAACTTGAAATCACACTGGGTGCATGTGCACATATGCCCAAAATCCTGAGAGGAGAATGGAGCAAGGATGGTTGCATGGCCATCCCCCCAAGGGGTGATTTCTCACTTTCCCCTCTCACCATCTCCTTTCTCTCTCTCTCTCTCTCTCTCTCTCTCTCTCTCTCTCTCTCTCTCTCTCTCTCTCTCTCTCTGTTTTTCTCCAGTGAACACATGTGTCCTGAAGCAAAAAAAAAAAAAAAAGGAGGAGGAGGAGGTTGTTTGTCTCTGTGAAATGCAATGTCACATAGGATCTGCACTTGTTTTAGTAATTCTCTTCAACAAAGTAAATTATTCTAATGCAATATTACCTGCAATAAATAATAGTCCACTCTTTTAGCTGGCTAAACAATGTTCAGCTTTCCATATGATACGTGCTAATGTAATACACTATTATTGGTTGCCTCTGAAGCTACTTGAAAGTAGCTTTAAAAATAAAATCATCATAATAGATGCTGACTTCTTGATCCCTTTACCTTTTTTTTTTTTTTGAGAGAGAGAGAGATTTTTTTTTGCTATAGGGCATGTACACTTCTTTGAGAAACAGAGAGAAAGAGAAACAGAAAGCAAGAAATACTCCCTGGAGGGATGGCCATGCTGCAATCTCTTCTCCTCTATTCTCCTCTTGAAATTTTGGGCACATACATGCACGCAGCCTGAGTTTTAAGCCACCGGGTCTGAGACTTGAACCACAGTCAACTTCATGAGAGTCTGGCAATTTAACCATTATACCATCTGCTGTTCTCTATCTGTTTGTTTATAGGTATATTTCTGACATCTAAAACAATGTCAGATATATAGTAGGGATTCTTGATTTTTCCAGAGTGATTTCCATTATAATCTGCAATCTCCCACATGTAGGCCCAGCTGTGGTGGCAATGGTGGTAGGGTTCCACTGCACAATACTGAAGCAAAATGAAAAAGCCTCTCGTTCAGATCCCAGGTTGACTTGAACACACCAGGCATCCAGGGAGAGGATCATAGCATGGCAAGATCCTGTTATGTGTGTTTTTCTCAAAAAGAAGGAAGGAAGGAGAGAAGAAAGGAAAAAGAAGAAAAGAAGAAAGAAGCTTTAAAGAAAAAGAAGAAGCCAACCAGTGGCATGGTAGTTAAGGTAGCTGGATCCCACATAGCCAACTGAGCAGTTTGAATTCTGAACCCAGCAGCCTGAAAAACATATTTGGTGTATATGTGTACATGCCCAAAATCCTCACAGGGGAATGAGGAAGGGATTGCAGTGTAACCACCCCCCCCCCAAGAAGATACTTTCTCACTTTCTCTCTCTCTCTTTCTCTCTCTCTCTCCTCTCTCTCCCCAAAAGAACGCATGCACCATATTGTAAACTAAAAAAATTAAGAAGCAGAGGAGGAGGAGAAGAACAAAGGTCTTCCACATTTATTGCTGATTGACCCCAAAGCAAAGTACTAGAAGTGCTGAAGCATCTATATATTCTCCACCATCCTTTCAAATTCCCTGTAAGATGAGGACATCAAATTTGCCTTTGGAATTTTACATGCAGAAAGTTTCATTCATTTTTTTCTTGAGACATTTTACATTCTCCTCCTATGTGTCTGCAATTCAAATCTTAAACAGTATTACATATTAAATTTACACAAAACACAAACCATCTCCAGAGCTGATTGTGATGTATGCTTCAAGTTATCAGCCTAGGAATATCCTTACTTGTTATTACAATCAAATTTTTACTGTTCTTCCTTATTCCAAAATAAGTCTAATACTTTGCACAGAGATAAAAACAAAGCCACAGTAATGTTAGAGCTAATTAAAAGATCTTGGTAGGTTGGAATGGAGAGAACCTCTTCATAGCTGCCCTGTCTCTTTAAAGTGAGCTCAAGAGCACCACTATTTGTACTTAACATATTGAGAAGCAAGGAGAAATGTCAATCATGTTCCAAGAGCCTGAAGCTCCCGATACCATTGAAAGAGGATACATCTCACGAGTAAAAGCAACTTAATGCTGTTCTGATCTAGATGTAAAATGAAAATTATCTATGGTATTTATTCAAAGCCTTGGACAAAATATTATAAAAATAAACAATAATGAAAGTTCAGTTAGATGTGCAACAGTTACAAAAGACTTTTTAAGTGATTATTTATTCAAACATAGCTTTTTACATTTTTAATATTTTATTTGTTATACATTCAACCACTGTATATCATTACAGCATGGAAAATGAATTTTCCCAACATGAAAACACACTGTATATTAATCTAGTCAAAGATACTATCATACATATTATCATAAATAGATAATTTTCCACTAATGCATCCCTTAAATGTGTTACTTCTTTATTTTTCCTATTGATCCTCTTCCTATCATCCTCCCCCATTTCCTACCCTCCTCCCACACTGTCTCTAGTATCCACAATCATTCTCCACGCTTTTATATTTTCCAATCTTTTGTTTCCACCATATAGCACAAACATTCAGTATATATTGAGTGGGAATACAACCCCTCTCTTTCATAGTCTAGCTTGCTTCACTTAGCAGTAAATCTTCCAAATTAATCTATTTCTGCTAGGGTCTTGTTATTTTTTATGGCTGAGTAGTATTTCATAGTGTATATGTGCCACATTTTTTCAATCCATTTATCTGTTTATGTACTTTTCAGTTGGTTCCATGTCTTAGCAATTTTTAACAAGCATCCCTTTTCATAATTCATGGCTTAAAGACCTATGCAGCATAAAAAGAAGAATGGATTAATAAATCACCCAGTATATATAGGTTGTGCTAGTGTTCTAGACAATCTACCACCAAATGCCATGCCAATCTAAAATACTTTTTCTATTGTTAAAACATACTGAAATTAATTACAAATTAGTGCCAATTGTCAATATTTTCTGTTCCACAGAAAGATTTGTTAAGATATTGCAGTTAGGACTCTGACTCTCATTTCAGTGATTACCTAAAGATATTTGTTAACAGAAAATATCAAGCATATGTTTCATGTGGTCACCTTATGTATTTTTGAATTAAACAGATACCCCTAAATTTCAAATTTGTTTTGGGCAGGTGTCTTCAAATACTGCTTCTTTGTGGAAACTTTTATCCATTACTTAAATATAATTTTCTTCTCTCTTTCTCATAACTATCTTCAACATATAATTCTTTTCTCTTTATCCTCTTCATTTTAGGATACCATTGTAGCCCTTTAATTGCATAGACTATTTTTTGTACTTCCAAACATGCTAGACTAAGTTTCTCAAGAGACTAAGCACTATTTAGACACATTCCATCATTAGAACCTGAGTTGTTTCTGAATTATGATGATGGGATAATGAAACAAAATGCCATCTCTTTTTGAAATCCTCCAACCAATATGTATTAGCAATTAGAGAACATTTAACTACATCTTCTTTATATATATATATATATTGATATTTCTAACAGCCTGCAATTTTTTCATAAGGAGGTAATACCTTAATTTAAATCCTTGCTAATGAAGGAGAAAAGAGAAATGAAAAAAAAGGAAAAGATAATCATAAATATCTAGATAATGCTCCAGTCTTTTTCCAAATTGAGCTTCTTTTTAGTAAACATTTGTGATGGTTTAAAAGATGTTCTGTACTTATTTCATCAGGAGGAATGTAGAAGGAGTGAGAAAACTGTATTGTGGCTACTTTACAATGATTTTATTAATACTGTCTCATAGAAGTTCGATCATATAATCAGGAAAGGAGGTGCCAAAATATAAAAAAAATGAAAAAGAACATACTAGTAGTAGTTAAGTCAGAGTTTCTTAGTCTTAGCCTTGTTTTTTCAGAACATCTTTAAAAGTGAGACTTCAGCTCAGCCAAAGGGCTTCTTACGGAAGGAAGCAGAAATCACTTGAATGAGGAGATGAGTTTCATTATTCTATTTCTTCCTGTCCCATACGTTAGACCTGGTGCCTTTTCACAATGCCCTCTGCTAGAAGTATCATTCCTTGAAGTTGGTTCCGTAGTGGGCATGAGTGTGTATGTGCTGTCAATATATGTAATTTTGCTTTTACAATGTTGGCAGTAAGAAGAAGCCTTCTAATTTTATTCAGCATGATGATAGGCTCTAGCATTTTAATTATTTTTCATGTTGTGAGTAATTTATTATTCATTGGGTATCTTCCCTGTAAATCTAGTCCTCGCGCTGTAGGATTTTTCTTTGGTGTCCAACAAAGGGTTTCATTGCAATAAGAAGCAAGGTGTGTCTAAGTTCTTACCCAGAGCCCAAACAATGCCAGCCTTCCAGACCAGCCCAGGAGTGTGGGGTGGGGAAACAGAGTCATTATAGAACATCTTCATCCCTCTGCCCAGAGAGCATCAGAGTTATCACCGATGCCCTCCCAAAAGGGCATCTCGAAGTACATCTTGCTGCAGAGCCACCTTCAGAACCCAGAAGACTGGGACTAAAATTGAAGTTCACTGGAATTTGTGTGCAAGAGAAACCTAAAGGAATGGATTGGCTCCTTCTCAGAAGCATTTGCCTTCTGATCATTCTAATGGTAAGTAGAACTTGAAGGAAATGCAGCCTCAAAGGCTTGTTTTCTCTCTCAGCTGCTGGGATTTCTACATGGGATTTGTACCATTTTTCAACCCCTTCCTGCAAAGAGAGCTCCAGGAGTTTAGCCTCCATTGATTTCAAAGGAAATGCCTGGAGGGACCAAGCGCCATAAAGAAGCAGAGTGAAAATTTGACTGAATTGAATTTAAATAACCTTAGAGACATAATCTTACTCAGATGAAGTGTTAGGACAATTCTATAATTGGAAATGAAATTTGTATTATCTTGGAGTCATTCTTAATTCAGACAGATCACTGTGAAAATTCCCAGTGCAGATGAGTAAAGGGGAGGGTAAGTTGATCAAGTCCATTTATTTCAGTTATCTCCCTGTGGACTTCTTTCAAAGTGAAGGAATGTTAGCTATGTCAAAATTACATTGCAACTAGTTATGGAATATTAAGTCATATGAGAATTTTTTTCCAGTCAGAAATAGCTAAAAAAAAAAAAGAAGAAGAAGAAAACTAAACCCTCAGGATAAATCTCTTCTAGAATTATTAAACCATTCTTATAGCTCAGGAAGAAAATATTTAAATGATCTATCTTTTAAGATAAGCATTGCATTTTGCATATCATATTATTCTCCTCCCTTGAGTGCCTAAGATATGAAATGCCTTCCAGACAGATGCTCTGCACAGCCTGTACCCTACTCTTGAAAGAGGAGAGCAGCTTCTAATTCCAGGTCTGTAGAGTAACAAAACTCAATTTTATCAACTCACTGATCTATTTCCAATTCAATTAGAAACGTTTATTTAAAGAATCAGTTACACTAACTTAGATCAGATTTAAGTCGACCAAGATTTAAAGCAACTAATGATCGAATAATAGAACAAAAGAGTTAAAAAAGAAATGTTTGTTCCAGCCACAGGGACCAGTGGAGAGGTGCTGTTCCATGAAACAAGATGCACGGGGGTTGGGGGGTGGAAGCCTGAGGGGGACCTTGGTTTGGTTCCTAAAGCAGGTTGTAGTGCCACAGACCTGTGATCCTGAATGGCTGGGAGGCTGGGGCAGGCAGATTGCAGAATGGCAAAATTCTACTGAAGAGCTCTCTCTCTCTCTCTCTCTCTCTCTCTCTCTCTCTCTCTCTCTTCCTCTCGCTCTCCCTCTCTCTTTGTCTTTACTCTCTGTCTCTCACCTAGGAATGGATAAGTAAATAAAATGTGTAGAAAGATAAGGGTATATGGTTATAGGACACTATACATTTTTTAAATTATTTTTAATTTTATTTATTCATTTACCTATTTTTATTTTGACCATAGAGACACAGAGACATTTTTAAGGCACATTAAGGCAAATACTCTATAGTTGGATGCACCTGAGCCTCCCAGGAGGGTACACAGGGATGCTACAGCATGAGCTTGGAAAATGATACCCATCCTGTTCTCGGGCAAGTGGCATTATACCAAAACTATATGAACATCCAATCTAAAAGACAGTGACCATGGTAGGGAGAGCCAGGAATATATCACCATTTAGTTGCCACAATGAGCACCATTCCTCCAGGATTCTTTCTGTGAACCTTAAAAGCAATGTGGGCACACAGCACTGCCAAAGGGCACACAGCCAAATTTGGGAAGGGCATGTGAGAACAACGGCAGAAACTTCCATCCTCTGAGCTCTGAACACATTATTAACGAGATCATCTTTGAAAACACATTTTTAAGTTGAAAACATCAGATAGAATTGCAATGCCCTGTTATTACTTACTAAGGGAAGAGGCAAGAATTCAACTCAATCTTTAACGGCAATGGGAAATGACCAGTCTACAACTCTGGTTACAGTTCTCCCGTGTTTTGACTCTACACCTCTGGTTACAGTTCTCCCATGCTGTGACTCAGATAAACCTGTTGTTTCCTGAAAGGAAAAACCACATGAGTTAAGATTTTAGAAGCAATTTTTGACCATTAAACTCTCTCTCCTATTGCTCTCTGCACAGACATGTTTTATGATAATATTATTTCATCAAAGAGTTCATTTGTCTTTGCCTTGCTTTTAGAAGAGTACTGTATTTTGATTCTTAAGATTTCTTTTTTAAAATTTATTTATTTACATTCATTCACTATACATCATTACAGCATACAAAATGAAATTTCCCATCCAGAATACACTGTATATTGGCTCAATCAAGCACATCAACAGACGTGTTATCAACAAATAATTTTCCATTTCTTATTTCTCTGTAGCATTGATGATTTCTTTTTTTTTCTGTTTTTTTTTTTTTTTTTTTTTTTTTTTTTTTTGCCATCCTTGATTCCCTATTCCTCACCCTCTGCCATGTCCCACCCTCCTCCCACATTGTCTCTGGTATCCTACTATTGATTTATTTTCCTTGGTTAATCTTGGTGGTTTGGGGACTAGCAGTTGGCATAATGACTAGGTCGCTGGATTCCCATGTAGTCAGCTGCAGTTCAAGTCCCAGACCCGGTGGCTGAAACACATGCCGGGCGCATGTGTGTGTGTGTGCCCAAGATCCCGAGAGGAGATGGAGGAGAAGGGATTATGGCGTGGCCATCCCTCTGGGGGGAGTTTTCTCGCTTTCTGCCTTTCTGTCTCTGTCTTTTTGGTGAGTGCACGCACCCTATAGCAAAAATCTCTCAAAAAAAAAAAAAATCTTGGTGGTTTTGATACTTATTTCCTTTCCTACTTCTCATTGATACTGAAGTATTTATGTTTTCTATTTTATGGTCATTGTGATGAGCTTACATTCTTCTTGCATGTCTAATAAATCCTGTAAGATATCAACTAATGATGTCTGAAACTGGGAAATAGAGACTTCTAGCATGATTCAAAGTTGAAACAAATGTGAGAATGCCTAAAGAGAATGAATATGATATTATAGATGTCATAGAAAACTAGGCATATGCTTACTTGTCTTTAATTTCCTGAACTTGAACCCTGCCCTTTTCATTCACTAAATCAAAGCTTCTGTGGGGCATCATTGCAGCTTGCACTAAGAGGGTGTGGTGACCTCTGAGAGACTTACGGGAACTTTGTGTCAGCTCTAGCTCAACCACAAAGAGTACTTTAAACAAAGTTTTGACTGACTGACCCAATAAAAGGTACCCAAAATTCTAGATTACAATAGGGCATTTTATTTTATCACATGAGTCCTTTGGAGTTTTCTTCCTAATGATGTTCATAATGATCTGCTATAAAACGGATGGGGCTAAGGTGAGATACAATCAGCACAGAACGGAGACTCAGACGGCTCGGGTTTGAGTCATGGCTCCTCTTCAAAGTGTCTGTGTAACTTTGGCAAAGGTACCCAATTTTTCAGGCTTCACTGTACCCCATATGAGAACGTGTGATTAGACATGACGTCACCAAGTTTCTTCTACTACAGAAACTCTGTGATTCTATAATTATCTCTATGAATGGGTATGTAGTAGAAGTTTATGTCCAGTGAATAGCATTTTTATAGCTTTGGCTAGAGAATCTAAAGGTTTAGATAATGCTATGGATTGTGTACAGTTTACTAGGACAGAATCATTTAAGGCAGAGTAATTGTTGGCTTGAAGAGCCCTATATTTTATCAGGTTGATTATATCATAAAGAGCAGCCAATGTTTTTCCACATACAGAGGCCATTCATACTACATGTAAGACGTCAACAATTTAATTAAATATTATAATTCTTAAAAAGTAAAGAAGGTAGGTGGTTAATCACATAGCTATCACCTCACTGAGGGCTGAAAATAGGCATCAAAATTTAAAAACATATTTAGAAGTAAACTAGTCACTTTTCAATTTAGTTTTTAAACAAAATGGGATTCTGACATGTAAAACACAAGTTTGTTTTTATTTATTTCGTCCAAGAAAATTTCCAGAAGTATAATTATGAGAGGGGGAAAGCACCTTATCTGATTTGGTTTTCTATTTGTACAAAAAGGAACGCTCTAATTGGCATTAAATGATTGGTTTCCATATTGCTTATTGTAAAAAGTACTGGTGTCCTCACCACACCAAAGGTTACATGGAAGCAAATCTGATCTCTTTTATTTTTTCTTTAGTATAAGTGACTAAGAAATGTATTTAAACCCCAAGCAGCCAAATTTATATTTTTATCCACAAATTCTTGCAGAGTCTATAGTGAGAATGTCACCGAAAAAGTTCTATATCCCAAGAGATATTTGATTATCACCATACCACACATGTAACTGTAGTATAAGGGAACTTCAAAACATTGAAAATGGGGGAACCAGCAGTTAGCGTAATGGCTATGTCGCTGGACTCCCACGTAGTCGACCGCGGTTCGCGTCCCGGTCCCGGTGACGTAAAACTCATGCCGGTCACGTGTGCGTGCGTGCCCAAGATCTCGAGAGGAGAATGGAGGAGAAGGGATTGCGGCGTGACCATCCCCTCTGGGGGGTGATTTCTCGCTTTCTGTCTGTATGTCTCTCTCTGCCTGTCTGGCGAGCGCATGCGCCCTATAGCAAAAACCTCTCCAAAAAAAAAAGATTGAAAATGGAATGAAAGTACAAGTGTATTTTGAAATCCATGCATCTCTTTCTAATGATACACATTTTCTATGAACTTTTAAAGACCGTTCATATAACTTTCTCAAATATTGACATGCAAAATTAGAGGATAAATGTCCTGCTCTAGAAATATTTCATGGTTCTTGAGAGTATGTCTTTCCTTTTTTTTTTTAAGATACTTCTTTTTAGAGAGTTTCTGGCTCCTGAGTAAATAGTTTGATCACTGCTTTCTAGTTCCTAAGTATCCAGGGAGGAGTCCCAAGACAGCAATGAGACCATCGTTTGAGTTGCAGCAGTTTCCTCTGTCCTCCCAGTGAGATTGCATTGGAAGTCCTCTCTCATGGAGAACAGCTCTGATGACAGAATGTGTGCAGAGAGTGACTACAGTGAAACCTTAGCGATTACTTGGCCGAGAAATGGGTGTCCTTCCTTTCTATGCAGTAAATTACACGGCTTACAAACTAAAAT